AGGACAAGATGCGTGAAAACCCCGGATTTTAAAGTCCGGAACCCGGACATGTCAACAAGTTTTTTTTAAACATAGTGTAGTAAAAAACAGTTGAAAATGTCATAAATCATCACTTTATTAAATTTAGTCATTTTTGATCATCATTTTAAATATACCTAACAAACCAGGATCTTATTACAGTTTGTTACAAATTGTTTTAATAATCAGTTAGATTTTTTTTATTTTTAAAATAAAACACAAATTATTAATATACTTTGTTATGAAAACAAAACCTTATAAAAGTATGAAACCTAAAAAAAATAAATTAAATTTTAAAAGTACTCGGACTACAAATGAAGCTCCCCGGATGCCCTCTAAAATAGGACAAATCCGGGGAAACCCGGACGGATGGCAACCCTAGACGTAGTTTACATCAGTGTTTTATTAGTATTTTTATAGTATCCAGACAAGTATTTCTTATACATCACGATTAGTAAGAAACACCTTACAGTGTTGTAATGTGTCAATGTGTGAACTAGGTTAACTTAGTATATAATTATGNAAACCCGGACCACAAATGAAGCTCCCCGGATGCCCTCTAAACTAGGACAAATCCGGGGAAACCCGGACGGATGGCAACCCTACATATATTGACTACCTTTGAGTCAAGGGTTACCACTGTATAGGTGATAAGTACCTCTCGGTCTAGAAATCGAGTCAAACAGTGAATAATTTTATTCCAAATGCAAATGGCAAATATTTTGTTTAACTTTAGTAGTAATAAATTGTTCATTTCTGGGTGGCCGAATCTTTTTATTTTCGGGCGTAGCTAGAGCTGTGTTACCTGAAGTTTCGTCCGTGAAATCATTTTTACACGGTCAGGAGACAGACAGCTTCCAAATTGGCTATTCATCCTTACTAAAGAGGGTGCATTAAAAGATAATGGACCTTTTAGGTAAGGGTGCAAGTTTTTTATTTTCCTTAAATGAATGCCGCGCCATGGGAAAACAATGACCCTCGTTATCTGATACTTTCACATGTAACAAAATAAACGTGTAATGCATCTTACGTATATATCACCCTGTGGAACACGTTTTTTTTTTGTAATTTATCGAAAATTGTGATCTTTAAAACCATCTGTTCTAATCCATCGTCCTTGAATGGATTTTAGTTTCATTTATTCATCGTCAAAGCCTTATCAGACCTACGCCTAATTGGTGTATCTGTCGGACTAACTAAAGGAGAGTTTACATCTGTCCGGTTTTACTCCCTCTTCCCCTCTAAAAGGACCGTAACGTCACGCTTTTTCTCCCTCCACCCCAATTGGAGTTATGTAATCATCATCATAAGGTCATCAGTCCTAAGACTGGTTGGACACGTACCTCCACTCATTCCTATCCTGAGCTAATCTATCAACTATATTTGCGAAAAGTAATCTAATCTAGGTCTACCTCTACATCCTCTTAACTCTTGTTTCTACCTCTAAAATGTCTCTGACTAGACTGTCCTACCAACCTATTTCGCCTATTTCTTATTGACTTCCATAGGGTTCTCTGTTCTCCTATTCTTTCTAATACCTCTGGTTTTCTAACCTTCTCTGTCCACGGTATTCTCATCATACGCCAGTAACACCACATTTCGATCGCTTCTAACCTTTTTTTTTCGCCACGTCCACTATCCATGTTTCGCACCCGTACAGCGCCGCACTCCAAACATACACCTTTGACAATCTTTTTCGAATTTCTTAATTAATCGTTCGCCAACATAGAAGTAACATAATCAAGAGTCATAATGCTAAATGAAATTGTAGACCCCTTTATTGTGACGAACGGAANTCCTACCAACCTATCTCGTCTATTTTTTATTGACTTCCATAGATTCCTCTGTTCTCCTATTCTTTCTAATACCTCTTCATTTCTAACCTTCTCTTATCCACGGTATCCTCATCATTCGCCTGTAACACCACATTTCAAACGCTTCTAACCTTTAATTTTCCGCCACGACCACCGTCCATGTTTCGCAGCCGTATAGCGCCGCGCACCAAACATACACCTTTAATAATCTTTCTCGAATTTCTAAATTAACCATTCGCGAGCATAGAAGTGACTTCTTTTTATTGAAGACGACTGGACCCTGCGCTATCCTCTGCTTTATATCCCTATTACTCCTTCCGTCCTGACTTATTTGACTTCCTAGATAGCTAAAATCATCGGCCACTTCTTCGTCTCCTATCTTTATATTCGCTCTTGCTTACCGTCAGTTACAAAAAAAACTACTATCGAAATAATCTATCGTTTGTCTTTCGGCGACTGCGTATTCGAAAATCCGTTTCTGTAATGTATTCCAACAACTTCTTTGTACACTGACTTAATAACCATTAATGTAATGCAGCAATGCCATAAATGTTGACTGAAACGCTGTACCGTGGACGTTTATTCAGTTGATGGGCCTTAAATTCATTAAAGTGTTTTGTAAGTTAATCGGATCGCTCGCTACCAGTTTCGTTAAATTAATTTGCTTTCCAGTACAACGTTTAGACTTCTCGGCAATCATGAGACGACGTCGGTAATACTGGTTAAGCATGACGATTATGGCCATTTTAACCTGCTGCGACTTTAATAAAACTGCGGAAGGGAACGTATTAACCACTTCGTAATATGTGACGCGAATCCAATCAAATGTGTACATGGTGTTTATAAATGTAGCAATTGCATCTTTAATAATAATCAAAGAATTGATTCGTATAGAGTACAAGAAAGGGATCTAACGGTGATCAAAGAAATTCAGACCGATAATCAAGGAAGGCATGCAAATAGGTCCACAAGATTCCTTAAAACTAAGAAAGTAATAATAGGAATCATCATCATGAGGTCGTCAGTCCTCTTTCCTGGCCTGAGCTAAACTTTGCATTTCCTTAAAATTAAAAAAAAACTCTTGGATGTTTCATTCCCACCAGTCACTAATGCTGGTGGATGGGCAGTCCTTCCCGACTACGCCGAAAGGTAGAGCGAAAGTCCCTTTTCAGTCTCCTTTAAGAAGCCGTGGGAATGGGAGGGTGGTGGTTCGGGTGAGAAAGATGAGATGGATGAAATGAAGACAGAAGAGAATGAAAGATTATCTGTGGAATATTACTGCCTCAGCATTTAGCTGAGTGATCCAAGGAAACTATAGAAACACTTGGACCAAGGCAGACGGAATCGGAATCTCTAGACTATGTCTCTCGGTCTAAAACTAGAAGATCCCACATCCTTAACTATTTGCGAACAGTAATTTAGTCTACGTGGGTCTACCTCTACTCCTCTTAACTCCTGTTTCTGCTTCTAATGCGTCTCTAATTAGCCCTTCATGTCTGAGAAGGTTTTCGTCTCTTATCTTTATGTTCACGCTTTTCCTAATATTTCCTGTCTTTCATATCAATATTTTTGATTATTTTTATTTATTTTCATACCATACTCTTTTTGTCAATACTTCTACTTTATTTAAAGCTATATCTAACTCCTCCCTGATAAATAAAAGGAATAGTTTAAAATGTATTAATGTTTATAAAGCTAGTACCATAATTTTAAGGATAATATTGAGTATTTCTCGTTTATAATTTGTGGGAAACCGTTAACCAGGGTTATAAAATTAGCAGTATTCACAAATAGGTTCTATTGTGTGTAGATATCATAATAAATATAGTTGAACAAGCGTCTGGGTGAGTCAGACGACATACCGACCAACCCACCCCCTTCATGCAGAGGGTTTCACAGGATAATTGTTCACGACACCAATTGTACTAACTTTCCACTGAATCGCGTACCATTCCTAATTCTATACCCGGATCAAAAGTCGATAAATAACGGGGGATGAATCAAATACGATGACGACTTGATTTACTGAAACCTCCCTTTGTGGCAAATGTTCAAGTTTACCGATTTAATGGATCCGTTTGCTGAAAATTTAAGAAGGAATTTTGTAGTTGGATAAGGAGAAGTCTCTAACTGAGGATAGCATTAACGCGTTTTGGATTTGTGGTATTATTAATGTTTGTAGGTACTTTGAATTTTCTTGTATCTATAGGGTTGTTCAGAAAGTCATTTTGTTTTTTTTTGTGGAACAAATAATAATCCGATGGTGCCAGGTCTGGAGAATATGGTGGGTGTAGCATTGTATCCCATTCAAGCTGTAAAAGCTTTTGGCGAGTGACCAAACTTGTGTGAGGTCTCGCGTTGTCTTGGTGAAACACTACACCTTTCCTGTTGATTAGTTCTGACCTTTTCTGTTGAAGTGCATCATTCAGTTTGTCCAGCTGATGACAGTAGACTTCCGAATTAATCGTTGTGTTATCCGGTAAAAGCTCAAAGAAAAAAACGATTCCTTTAAAATCCCACCAAACAGACAGCATCACCTTTTTTTGGTGAATATCGGCTTTGGAAATGGTTTGAGCCAGTTCATATTTTTTGCTCCATGACCTCTTGCGTTTGACGTTTTTGTATACAACCCATTTTTCGTCCCCAGTGATGAAGCGCTTGAAAAACGGATCATTTTCGTGACGTTTGAGAAGCGAATCGCAGACGTCAATGCGGCGACACAGATTTCTCTCTGTGAGAACATGGGGAACCCAGTTCTGGCACTGGCGTACTGTCAACACACCTTCTCCATACACATACACATCACCTTCTGGCTTGAACAGCATTTTTACCCTTTCTGTAGTAAAACAGTAAGATATGTCGAAAATGCTGCTTATCGCTCTCCATATTTAAAAGGGCACCAACCAAAAGCTACTGCGTAGAATTAATTGGAATTTTTCATACACAAGCCTTGCTATATGAGCTCTCAAAGCATATAAAAATTACACGGCTTAAATGTGAAGTTGGGTGCAAAAGAATACAATTAAATCCTCTGTCGGGAAAAAACGAAATGACTTTCCGAACAACCCTATATAATGGAATACGAAAGGCTTAGGATAGGAATGATTCTGACTGACTACATGATGTTGACGCGTCTACTTCAATCTAGTCATTTTTACTATATTTTGGTTGCTAAAATGAAGTAAATAGTTTTGTCAACTTCAAAACTGTCACTTTTTACAGTTTTTGTCAATTTTTCAAATTCCAACCGAAGTTTCCCCCTTTAGGAATCGTTCGGTTGAACAAAATTAAAATGTGTAAACCACAAGACTCGTCAGACGATAAGGAGGCGGAATTAGCAATGTCGACCGTTAAAATGGAAAAGGATTTGAGCAAAAGAAACGAGGACGACGATTCGTTTTTCACATTCTTAAAGATGTTTCGTCGTAAACACAAACATTGGCCGAATATTAAAATAGCAAAAGAAGGCGCGAGATTGTGGGCCTCCATGGACTCGGTGAACAGGGACAAATTTCAACGTATGGCCAAAACTGTCGTTCCGAAAGAGGGACAGACGAAACCTGAACAAGATAATTGTCCACCTGGTCGACCACCTTCTTGTCCCCCAAAGAAAAAACGTAAACCGTGCAAAAAGAAACGAAAAAGACGCTGCTGCTGCAACCGGAAAAGGAAAAAAAAATGTGCACGACGTAAACCAAAATGTAAGAGAAAGAAGAGAAAACGCAGTTGTTGCTGCGGAAGGAAAAGAAAGAGGAGGAGCAGTTGCAAAAGGAAGAAGAAACGTTGCAAGAGGCGCAAAACCTCGTGTGGAAGTGCATCAAGTGGCTCTAGTGTTAATAGCACTGCTTCGACGTGAAAAGTCTTTTTGACGTGTAGCTTTAGGCACGAATCCTTTATCTCTGTACGAATTGTCTTGTTTTTTTTTTTTTTTTAATAAAACGTAACAGAATAATTCAACTTTTATTACCTGAATTTACCCAACAAAACCAACACCGTCCCAGGCTTGGTATTGCCTAGGACAGTCTTGGTATTGTTTTTCCCATCACTCGAGCAGTAGTGAGTTCCCCAATGTCTTTTACCTATCGTCCTAGTTTTGATTCTGTTATGATTTTGTGGCTCAAATTTCTACCTAATGTAGCCCCAAAATGGTTTCTAATTTTCGTTTTGCTGAATTTTATAGTAGTATTAAAATTCTGAGTATATTTCTGATTAGCAAGTGGATTGTAAACCGTCGGCTGACTTTTTGAAGTGAAACTTCTTTACGCACGGTAGGGTAAGTTCGTTTCATCCGGGTTGCTATGTAACGAAATCATGCAACGCATTTCACCCGCTGTCTGTCCCTATGTATGCTTAGATCTTTAAAACTACGCTACGGATTTTAATGCGGTTTTTTTAATAGATAGAGTAATTCAAGAGGAAGGTTTATATGTATAATACATGCATAATATAGTAGAGAAACACTGATAATTTTAGAGGTAAATAAACTCATATTTTTGCGCTTACATTGCAAACGCTGGCTGAACCCTACGAGATAGATCAAAATAATATAGTACAGTATTGTATACCTTAAAAAGGTCTACAAAAAAGTCCGGGATGGTATAAGTCTATCTCTTAGGGATAAACCACAATAACCATTTTTTATCCTTTACTTTTTACGAGAAATAATGGGTTATTTACTAAGCGATTTTAAGCAATACAACAGTAATCCTTATCCAATTAAGTACTTTTAAATACATTGTGCATTTAATATAGATCAATATTGCCCTATATGAATACAGCATGTAATTTAAATGAATATTTTCGAATATATTACAGACTTAAAATGCAGGGACATAGCGGTTGCGGCGGTACCGGCNGTAGATGGCGTTCACCGCGCCTTCAGTGGTATTTTCTAGGATAACTTATATTTAATATTCTTATAGCAACTATAAAAAGTTTGGTTTCTGTCAAACTGGTACCAGTTTAGCCTTACTGAGTGACGGGACCACCCTGTTAGGGTCTCCCGGACCTTATACATGGCGGGGGACGTTGTTTGTTATATCCCTTGGGGTAGACTTTCTATCAAGGAACCACGACGTGTTTGTGGGACCCCTTAATGACACTCCCGAACCTATTGACAAGTACAGTTATCTTGGTTGGTTATTTGTACTAATTTTCGTGGGCATGCTTGAGAATGAAATTTTCTCATTTGTAGGTATGAGTGTTACCGCGGGTAGATTTTTCAGAGAACATCCCCTTTCGTATGCCGGAGGTGCTCCAAGATCAAAAGACTACGGTCAAGTGTACATTCTTAACACGTTAAAAAATCAACTCCAAATGAACATTTCTCTAGTGCTCGATGGAGAGCAAATTGCTTCTAGTTTTGGCTATGAAATTTTAGCCGCTGACGTCAATAATGATGGGTAAACAGTCGACCATTTTAAATCATACCAAATTGTTCATCAACGCCTTTTTCCCTTTTTTTAGTTTTGATGATTTATTTGTTGGCGCACCCTTCTATTTTAGCAGGACTAAAGGGGGTGCGGTTTATATTTATCATAATTTACGGAATTGTACAACCACAACCGATTGTAAAAGTGACTTGGTTTTGAAGGGAACGTTGGAATCCCGATTCGGGTTTTCTATGGCCAGTTTGGGAGACATAAACCGTGACGGTTACACTGACATAGCTATAGGGGCCCCATATGAAGGAAATGGGGCCATCTATATTTATTTGGGGTCCAAAGATGGATTGATTCCTCAACATTCCCAAGTATTTTTTTTAGTTTAAGTTAACTGTAGGTAACTGATTTGGTTCCGTTTTAGAAAATACACCCCGAATGGACTGGGGTTAAGACTTTAGGATATTCCCTTAGCGGAGGTGTTGATATAGACAATAACGGGTACCCAGATCTTCTATCTGGAGCGTTTGAATCAGATGCAGCATTATTGTTTAGGGCAAGACCAATTATTGACATAGAAACCAGTATTGAGGGCAAGGAATTGAAAAATATTGACATGAGTAAAACGGGATGCCGAAAAGAACCAGACAGCAGCAATACATGGTAAGATTTTCTAAATTAAATATTTTTAATATGAAATATTATTCTGAAAATTCATTTCTGAATTTTTTACCCACTACACACTACCTCAAATTAATGTTGCTGTTGTCACCGCTCGTAGTTTAGTGGTCAGAACATTGGTGCGTAAAGCCAAAGGTCCCGGGTTCGATTCCCGGCGGGGGTGTGNTAATGACAAAAAAGCTGTGATTGTTGTATATAAAGACATTCTATAGTATATTTACTATCAGCATTGCACCCGTGCGAAGCATAGTGTACAAATAATACCATTAAACCAATTCCTTAACCCCTATCCCGGTACGATTGTGTGTTTGAAGAAGTTTCACTTCAGTAGCGTGTTGTATAATTCCACGTTTTTTTTTTTTAATGAAAGCTAAAAGTATTCTTCACAGTTTTTTTTTAAATTTTTGGTATTTTGTTATAGGTTATTGGTCGGAGCTCCCCTGGGACAAAATAAGCAACCAGGAACGAACAGGTCTGGAGCGTTATTCAAATGTCCCATTGCCAATCTTAATATTTTTGACGAAAGCGATTGTGAACAGGTTGCAACCGATGGGTACAGGCGTAAGTGCATTTAAAATAATATCATTAAATAGTTAATTCATTTTGTAACACTTGTTATTTACGAAATACTTATATAGAATACTATAAATAGTAAAATAGCTGTTTTATTTTTATGTATGTGTATACATTTTTATCAGACATAATTTGATTTTTAGTTTTAGATCTAGTATTATTGTGTTTAAAAGATGTAAATATTTAAATATAGACACAAGCCTCATTTGAGAAAATTTCAAAATTTCAATATATTTTTATTTAGAAGCACACATTATTATTGTTTTCTTTTTATTAGTGGCTAATGCAGTTATAAATACACTTGTGCTATTTTGTAAAAGAAATTTGATGATATTCAGTTTTTTGAAAAAATTTTTAGAAGTTACATTATTTGGAGTGACTTTCCCTTTTTTTCTCATTTAGATACGTATTGAATTTTACTATAATCTATCGTGTTCCCATGAAACAGGAGTACACTAATTGTTTTTATTACTTTAACTATTTGCAAATATAGTTAAATTTCGCAAAGTTAATTACGAAAGAATAAAATGTGAAGTATATGATTATTTTTTAGAAAAAAAAAACTTATTAAAATATAAGCATATATCTAGTGTTATGTGGGTTTTTTTATATGCATATGCAGTGAATGATTTTTGGATCATTTGTTTTTTGACTTATTGTTTGTTCAGAACTTTTTCGCTTAAAGTCGCAAAAATCGCTATAAAACTTATTTTTTTACGAATCAATTTAAAAAATTTAATTTATTCAAACAAATAATAATAATACCCATATAAGAAACAACTTGTTCCTCATCATATTTTCAGCTTTTTCCCTAGGGCTATGATTATACCTTCAAGGATTGTTGATCCCTTGAATAGAACGCTTATCGCTAAAAGTGACCTTTGAGTTATTCAAGTCTTTTTAAAAAAAATCCAAGGATTCAAGATATGTAATTAAATTTGAACGAGGGCGTATTTAATTTACTCGCCAAGGGTTCCGTACCTTATGAAATTCGTCAGGACCGTGCACAGGATTTATCCTTGAAGGGGGTTTTGGTGAAATTTAAAATTGGCTAAACTTTGTTGATAAAATTTTTTGCATCAAAAGAACTTTAATTGAAAATATAATACTGGTATATAAAAAAATCAAGTTTTGACAGAGACATAATCATTATCATAAGGTCATCAGTCCTAAGACTGGTTGGACACGTACCTCCACTCATTCCTATCCTGAGCTAATCTATCAACTATATTTGCGAAAAGTAATCTAATCTAGGTCTACCTCTACATCCTCTTAACTCTTGTTTCTACCTCTAAAATGTCTCTGACTAGACTGTCCTACCAACCTATTTCGCCTATTTCTTATTGACTTCCATAGGGTTCTCTGTTCTCCTATTCTTTCTAATACCTCTGGTTTTCTAACCTTCTCTGTCCACGGTATTCTCATCATACGCCAGTAACACCACATTTCGATCGCTTCTAACCTTTTTTTTTCGCCACGTCCACTATCCATGTTTCGCACCCGTACAGCGCCGCACTCCAAACATACACCTTTGACAATCTTTTTCGAATTTCTTAATTAATCGTTCGCCAACATAGAAGTAACATAATCAAGAGTCATAATGCTAAATGAAATTGTAGACCCCTTTATTGTGACGAACGGAATTTGATCATAACAGTACCTTATTAATTTTTTGGTGCGGAACCCTACAAAAGTTTTTTAATTATAAAACAAAATATTAAAAACACCCTTTTTTTGATGAATATCAAAGGTCAAGGGTAAAACATGGATAATGGGTGGATAGGCATGGAACTGGTTGTTTATTTTGTTGTCTAATTTTTAAATATTTTGGAAAAGCGATATTTGCTCTTTAAGCGATGGGATATATTTATAAATAGTGTCATGGTATTGTGAAGCCCAAGTAATATTTTTTTTTGGGGCTAACGTGTAATTGTATTTTTGTTTTTTTCGGGTTGTTCGACCAGAGGCCGGTGGGCAATACACGCGTAAGTGGTGGTCTCCCATCTTCTCCAGCCAAGTTACGGTACCATGAATGGTACCATTACTTGGACCCTGCACGGTAGCTTGCAGATGTGTTGTTTATTGTGCATGATGTCTGTCTTTTTTTCTCTTTTTCTACTTATTGCATGTCGATTCTTAAGCTTTTTGTAAAATATTATAAATGCAACCAAAATTCGCTGTAACTTGTTATTTCAAAATTTTAGTAGTAGAGATAGGCCGTTTTTAAACCAAGACGATAACTTGGGGTCGTCGCCCCCGATTTTCCCCTTATATTTTATATTTCAAAAAAAAAAATTATTTAATTTAACGTTCACTTGAGATTGCATTCTTTGGTTGCATTTTACGTACTGTTTGGCTTTGGTGCTTACATTTTGTTTTTGAATGCAATTTTAGTATTTCGAGAAATGTATAAAAATCATAATTGACAGATTTATGCGAATATACTCGCTATATGCATTGATCAAGTAAATTACAATTGTCGTAGACACAGACGACAACTTTATTTAAATTCTGTATTAAATTTACATAATTACATTTTATTAATTACGAGTACAC